GGGGGAAAAAAAACAAAAGGGAAAAAAAAAAGGGACGAATAAAAAACCCCTTGGGGGGGGTGGGGTTTTTTTGTTTGAACAGAATGGGCAGTTTTTTTTTTGGAAAGGACGTCCGCGAAAAGTAAAAGAACAAGACTTGGTTTTGAACGATGTAGGTACAGGAGAGCATTTTTTACTCCTTCAGACCCAATCCCAACCCGGTGACCAATTTTCAGGCATGTATCATAGGAGAGTAGCCCACTTGCTCTAAGTGCCTTATCAGGATGGTGTGCTGAGCATTCCAGGAGCTCTTGGTGGAAGACAAGAAACGCCCCAGGGATTTCCTCAACGTCTCCAAGCTTTGTTACCTCGTATCGAATGGCGTCTCTAATGGAATCGAGAGCTTCGTAATCACATTTCTGAGGCTGTGTAAGACTCAATACGTGTGGGATTCTATCCTTTGTGCAGATGAGCTCGCCGGTACAAGACGGTAGGAGAATGCTCCTCAGGGCTGTGTCAAGGCATTTTATTCTGGAGGGGAGCTCACTTTCTGACAGAGCGTCCCTGTGAGTGGCCACGGCCATCACTCTAAAGCGTGGGCTCTCTGCGCACGAGAACCTCTTTGCTTGCAAAATGGCAGCAAGCTTCGTATGATTTGCCTGTTAGTAAGCTGCTGGGAACGCAAGTATTCTTTCTTTTTTGTGTGTGTGGAGAGATATTCATCAAGACCTTGAGTGAGGTTGAGAATTAGGATCACAAGTTGGGAATTGCGTACCTGATGAAGCATGCTCCTACCAATTTCTACCGTTTGCATCACCTCAAGAGCACCGTCAGTAGCTTGGGTACAACTCTCTGGAGATTTCACCAGCTTCAGAAGTGACTTACTGGTGGCGCTGTTGAGACGAGGTTGCTTTGTGTGGTGTACACCGCGCCGCATATGTCTCTGAGTAGTATCTCACGATTCGACAGAACCATGAACGGATCACCCCATGTCTACTCTACATTTCAAGGGTACTACTGGGGTGGAGAAAGGCCTTTTGCTACTACCGGATTGAATACCGGAAGGACTGGTTGGTGAAGTGCATTTCTTGGGCAATGTCGAGCTAGAGAGTCTTCTGGTGGGTTGTGATGTGTACTACTGCTAGCTTCGACTCTTTGCGAAAGAGACTGGCCAAGAAATGGAGAGTATCTTGACAAGAGAAGAGTTTCCAGGGTTGGAAAGACATGCTACCAATAGGAGATAGCAAACTGGGCACTGGAGACTCGGCAATTCCAGCACAGGTGTACACCTCAGGGCAGTGGTTGGTTCACGAGGCGGCTGAGAAAACAGGTTTTCCCTGACCCCACGATACCTACAAGGACTCCTAACAGGTTTCTTGTGCTCACTCGACTGTTTTCCAGCCCTCTTCGGATGACCTCCAGTGCCTTTTCATCACTCAGAGGAGCTGATTGACAGAAAAAAGAAGAGCATCAAGCCTTTAGTTTGCTGTTTAACCCTTAGCAAGCCATATATATACCCATGGCATCCAAAGGGTTAACCCTGGGAATATGCTGAACAATTGGCAAGCAAAGTTTGCCTGTTTTTTCCGCTAACTAAAAAAAACGGCCACCAATACTGAAATGCTTCACATACACGTTAAGAGCATAATGCAATTCACTTGCGTTCACTCTCCAACAATGCATTCCTATAATCATCATGCAATACACTCACGAGGTGTCAAAGCTTTGGTCAAACCATCGTGTAGAGATGAGTTGTCTCCTTGGTAAAGCTGTGCTGATCCCACAACTCTATCAACAACCCAACTTCCTTTACGTTTACCTAGAGCAGAAGGAAAGTAACGATTTCACTATTAACTCTCTCACGATGGTCGCAAAAAAGCGCCTTCGCCCACATGCGTAGATTTACGTAGGGCACATAAATGCGCCTTCACCCGGGAAACAGTTAAAGTAGCAATTGCCCCACGCTTTCTTTAAATGAACCTGTCATCAAAGGAAAGGCAAAACAACTCAAAGGAAAAAGGATTCTGCCCTGGGTGGCATTTGAACCCAGGACACTCTATAGGCACTCTAGGCGATCACTCTATAGCCAATGCTTAAACAGTCCGACTGAGGCCGCTCGTGCGCGCGCTCCACTGACTATATAGATATATAGAGACTGCGCGCGAAGCCAGACCGCACGGCGGAAATTGACATTCCTAAGCGTGACTAATTGACATTCCCTAAGCGTGACTAATACCGCGCTCGGCAATCACGCTAACGCGCTCGGCAATTATGCCATGATTATGTCTCTCGTACACTAGGTAGTTCAGTTTGAGTCTTGGCTGCTCTCTATTGCCTATTGGTGTAAAGTTGGAATAAAGCTTGAATTGAGCTCCAGTCTGAAATGCAAGCTACCTATATTTAGCTACATTATTGTTTTCAATGGCTAGAATATTCCTCACCTTTATCCAGATCGAATATGTGGAGCTCCCCTGAGAACTGGTTCTGTCCCATGTATCCGCCGTACACCACTAGCCTTCCTTCAAACCACACCATTGCGCTCCCGCTCCTCGGGCTGGGCGGCGAACGAGAACCGCTGGCGGGTACCAACGGGCGACACACCGACGCCACTAAATCTATCTCGTACACGTCATTTGTGTACTTCTCGTCGATTGCGTCGTCCGAAATCTGTCCACCGAAACTGTACACTTTCCCTGTTGGGGAAGGGGCGATAGCCATGCGCTGTAGGCCGTCGGGGAGACACCGATAACCGAGAGAGTCGACCAGTTGCATGGGCGCAGTCTCCCAAGTCGCTGACGACACGTCGAATCGTTCCAGGGACGACGTTTCAATGTACCTCCCGTCGCCTCCCCACACGCACATGCGGTCATACGCGTCGGCAGCAGCTCCGTGGTAGGCCCTAGCTGACGGTTCCTTCTTGGCAGCCATTGCGCTACGTGCGAGGTCCGCCCCTAAAATAAAAACGATATGGGTATCCCCGGGGCGCATGCGCATGAATCGACGCATCAGGCGGAATGCTAAGCCATACGATCTCACCAATACGTGTGAATACCAGCGTTGCTCTGTGTACCCCAATAACCATGGATCGAAACTACATTGAGTTCAACAACAGTTGCTACTAATTCTATGCAAGGTGAGTATTATATAGCCAGCGCCGAAGTTGTGATATTATAGCGATTCCCGTTTGCGATACAGATGCTCCTGAGATTGCTCGTAGTAGCGGCCGTATACACCCCGCTCTGTGTTCACCCGGCTTCATCTACAACAGAGGCACAGCCACAAGATGATAAAACTGGTACGTCCCAAACCTCAGCACAAACAACCGCAAAACGAAGGACACTTCTCTACAAACGACACTTGGTTTGCATACATTATACGGTGGAGTAGGAAGGGAGCAGGGGGGATTATTTCAAGCCCCCTCCCCCAAATGGCAACACCTTTCCTACTTTACTGCTATAATACGACCTCTGAATGAGGGACATTACCTTAGTAAGAGAATGTAAAGTATTTCCCCAAGGTGTCCCGGTTTCACTGTAGTACCATACAGCTATTATCTTCTGCAGTTCTACAGCAGCTCAAACTAATCAGTGAGTCGCTGAAGGTTCTAGTGGCAGAGGCCGGTCGACAACAGTCCCAAATCAACCAATTAGAGGAGGAGCTCTCCTCAATGAACAATGATTACGAGGATCTGAAAGAAGACGTGGCAAACTTGGGAATCGAGAGCTCGTCTGAGGCATGTACAGTTGTCTCAGAGGCAGTCGAAAAGTCTTTACTAAAAGATGAGAATTTAGAGAGTGAGACGATGACTAGCACAATGAACAATACCACATCTGATGTTTAAATCAGTGGCATTGATAATATTATAGTCAGTGACGTTAAACTTCACACCATAATCTCATTAGTTTCACAAACACCAAAAAACTGCTACCAAACTTACGACGATGCTTCTTAATTAAACGCTAGTTTTCCCTATAATTATAGCTATAGCTACAAAACACAATCTCTTGTATGATCGATGCTCAAAGTGAAATGCTTGAAGCACCAAAAAGAAAAGAAGGGTTGTTACACAGCGTGCAAATCAGATGCCACTGTTGCTAGAAATACTGGCGAAAGTAGGAGAGCAACGATAAACTAGCGCCGATGTTTGCGCATGCGTGTGCAATTGTGATTCAGTGCGCATGTGCGACCATAGGGGGCGTGGTACAATGTACGGTGAGTCGGTTCACGACGCAGACACTCGAAAGTCTTTTGCTATAGCTAGACGAGTTAAGTGGGGCCAGTGACGACATGAGTGAGGCCAAGGAAGCGCCCAAGGGTCTACAGGCTCTCTTCTCTCGACCTAGAAAATTTTACGTAAGTTCCCAGCTATATAATACTTGGAGACGTGTGTTTAGCTCAAGGTTTTAGCTCTGACTTGTTCCCAGACCCGTAAATTACTTAACGTTTTCAGGAAATGGCCTGGGGATGAGAGTTGCCAGGCCTTCATTTATAAGTTGATCCAAAGAGAGGCGAAACTAGCACTTTATGAAAAAGGGTCAGTAACCAAAATTAAATGTCTGTGTGCATTACAAGACTCACTCTATAAAAACTCAACCCCCTCCCTCCTTATTAATGAGACACTATTAAAACTTTGTCTGAGATGCTATATATTTTGGCTCGGATGATGTCTCATGCTAATAATAACAGGAGAAGGTGGAGAGTGGGACTGTGGCCATGACGTCAGCGGCTACGGAACTGGTGTACGTCCGCGAGTGCCGCGACTGTGAGCTGAGAGCAACCACCAAACTCGCCAAGTGTATCATTGGTTAGAGCTTTCATGTGTAATGTATAGAATACTTGCTAACCCACGATTTTTTTCGAACGTTTTTTTGATGTGAGAAATACAATAAGTATAGTGATGCAAGGCTAAAATTGGAGTAAAAATGCACAAGTCAAAGAACTTGTCATTGGCCTACCTAGTCGTTGCAATGTGGGAATTGTCTCTTTATATACGTACATATGTGACGGCTCTGTCGGGCACTGCACATACCGTAGTGTTCTACACGTGATTCTAAATACACGCAAAACACGTGCGAAATACTGAACTGCACACGCTCACCAACTATGCGATGCATTCCTCTTGTTATATAGAGTATAATTATAATATTTTCTACTTTTCTAGATTCGTGTTCTAATGTGAAGGTAGCTCTGGAGGAGCCAATAATGAGCGGAACACTGGTAAGACCCTGAATAATTGATTATCAGTCGTGATAATTATTATTATTGCCTTTTAATGTAATTGGGAATTTTCATAGGGACAAAAAATAGTCGACGTAAAACCAGGTGATGAAATGTTCATGCGTTCAAAGTTCGTATGAGACGTGTGACACATGCCCTTCACACACATTATGAGTGTGTATAATAATAATAATAATTATGTGTGCATTGCCAAATAGTGTATTTTGAAAATTGGCAACTGTACACGGTGTATACGTCAATAGCAATACTAATGAACTTGTGACACTTTTGACCCACAAAGTGTGCCCGCTGTGCCATAATTCATGCTCATTGCTATTACCGAATGTTCATTGTCCACCGAGTGTCCTTTTGACCCACAAAGTGTGCCCGCTATGCGATAATTCAGGCATCATGTCTATTTCCAACAAATGTTCATTGTCTCACCGAGTGTCTCTTGACCCACCAAAGTGTGCCCGCTATGCGATAATTCAGCTCATTGCTTATACGACATGTTCATTGTCCACACGAGTGATCCTTTGACCACAAAGTGCCCGCGATGCCATAATTCTGCTCATTGCTATACGAATTTCATTAGTCCACCGAGTGTCCTTTGACCCACAAAGTGTGTGCCCCTGTGCCATAATTCATGCTCATGCTATTACAGTGTTTCATTGTCACTAGTGTCTTTTGACCCACAAAGTGTGCCGCTGTGCCATAATTCATGCTCATTGCTATTACAATGTTCATTGTCCACCGAGTGTCCTTTTGACCCACAAAGTGTGCCCGCTGTGCCATAATTCATGCTCATTGCTATTACCGAATGTTCATTGTCCACCGAGTGTCCTTTTGACCCACAAAGTGTGCCCGCTGTGCCATAATTCATGCTCATTGCTATTACCGAATGTTCATTGTGCACCGAGTGTCCTTTTGACCCACAAAGTGTGCCCGCTGTGCCATAATTCAGGCTCATTGCTATTACCGAATGTTCATTGTGCACCGAGTGTCCTTTTGACCCACAAAGTGTGCCCGCTATGCGATAATTCAGGCTCATTGCTGTTGTGGGGTTACTGAATGTTCATTGTGCATCGAGTGTCCTTTTAGCCCGCTTCATAGCTATTGTATATCTGGCTGCTACATTGCTAAGGTTAGGTTCACAATGTGTCACATCGCCCCATCGCGCTGTGCTGCTTTGCCGCATCACGAGGAGAGAATCCATTTCTATCTTCGTGAGAGGACGCGATGCGGCACGGCGCGATGGGGCAATGCGACATAATTCTTGTGAACCTAGCCTAACTGTATGTTGTGTTGTTTTAGATTTGCAAGATTGAAACTGTTCTTTTATAATATGAATGTTCCACCTTTAGTTTTGCTCAACTCCAAGTCGTCATGTGTTACAAACCTGTGTAAAGTGCAATTGCATGTCTCTTTATACCAACCATGTTTTGTCGGCTTTTTTGATTATTACTGCCGTAGAGAAAAGAACCAACTGCTATATACTGAAAATGCACTTGAAAAAGATCTTTCTCTCTGTCTGCAGGAAATGATTGACTGTAAGAATGTGTCGGTCCTCATTAACCCCCGCGATAGCCTCCCCACCATTTCGGCCGAACGATGTGAGAGCATTCGTTTCCACCTCGTTAGACCGGGGGCGATGGGTTCAGTGTACTCTGTCCAGTGTAGGGACGTGAGTGTCCATTTCAAGCCTCCGCATCGAGAGGAGTACGTACTGGAGCTGCCGGGGGGAGGGGTGGAAGAGGGAGGGAGGGGTCAGTTTGTCAGCTACCTCAGTGGAGAAAACATGGTCACTGAGAGAGTTGTTCGAGGTACGACAATAACTATGTATATAGCTTAGTGCAGAGAATGGGGAGGGTGAATAAGGCCAATGCATTATTTCGTCTCAAAAGACTTTGGCTTTTCCACATAGCTACCAAACTCACTTTGATATTGATGTTTTAAACCTGTAGCTCCATGCATTATCTCTAAGGGGAGCCAACACAGGGGTGTTTACCCAAATACAAATTAGAAGGCCTATTTAATGTACATTCAGTGGAATAAGGGATAGGTAACACTAAGCTTCATAGGGAGGTTGTCCTCTCTTTGGAGGTTAATAATGTACAAAAAAAACATTTTGAGACATAAAGTGTGTCCTTTATTGATAGGTTTTTGTGTTGCGTCCTTTACCAGAGGTTCTATACCTTTTGTTGTCAGTGCCGGAGGTACTTTTGTCAGTTACATGCAATTGTGTGTCAGACACTATAGCAGTTATTCTATTTTGATGTAGGTATTTTGATGTCTATGTCATTTTATTCTCTGTATGTAGAAGGTTCGGGGTACGCAACAACTGCTACTAAGCTGGCTGAAGCTGAGAAGAAACAGAAAGAACGTAAGGAGCAGTTAATATGTACCTCATACTTGTACAGAAAGATTCTCTTGCTATTATAATTGTATGCCTTGACAAATTCTTAATTTTTCGTTTCCAGTGATGAGGAGGTTTGAGGAGCACGTGGTGAAGATGCTCGGCATGAGTGGGCCTACCTCCACCACCACCACCAGCTACTACCCCTGCTCCTCCTCTGCCCACCTCAAGACAAGAGACTCGGGAAGACGGAGAAAACACTGAGACTGCCTCCACTGCAGCTGAGCCTCAGAAAGAGGATGGGTCTGGAGACCCCTGAGCAAAGAATGAACAGACCTAAGCAATCCACAACAGTATAGTATGCTACAGCGAGAAGTACTCTTCTTTAGATAGATTAGTATATAAATGAAAGCTAATGGCTTGATCACCCTAAAATTGTCAGTCTCAGACCTTTTTAGTGTTTTATGTGATAAATATTGCAGGTTGTTACGTTTCTGCGGTAGGATGGGATGCTGTAATGTATATACAAAATGCAACGTGTCAAAGTTGAATGAAGTCTTCTGATCGCTGATCTGACCCTCATTTGGTTACGGTCGTGCGTCTGGTGGGAGTGTGTTGCTAGTGTTGTTAACTGCACATGCATGATCTCCCGCCCACTACGTGCCTTGTATGTCGTCTCGTCTCCCTCGTGAGTCATCCGTTTTGGTGTGCGTGATGGCTTCCTGCCTTTTATGCACAAAAATTAACGTTGCGATAGCGTACACACCGTTCTCTTCCATACTATCACAGTCTATATAGTGAGTGTACGAACACTTCTACCCGAGTAAGCGACGCTGTTTACGATACCAAGGCTAAGGATGAAGGTCCTGGGCGCTTTCTTGGCAGTCGCTTTGCTGGCGGTATCGGAAGCCGACGTGTTTCACCGGAGAAGCTATCGTAGATATCGTCAAGAAGAGCCTTCCGCTGGGCGAGGGAGAAGGAGTGAATATTCGCTTCCAATGCAGTCAAGCTACGCTGGGGGAGCACTGGAAGTCGCTCTCGGTCGGCTGTGCAGAGTTTCTGACGACGCAAACCTTCAACTCGACCAACTTTCCCAGTTCGCTCCGCGGACTCTGCGGAAAATGTGGGGAGCCCCTGTATCGACTAGTCCTTGATTGCGTCGGAGATTCAGGGAAGTTTCTTCGTGCTCTGGACACTCTGTGCGCCACCAACGGGAACGGCGTCACGTGCTACGATGCGATAGCCGAGGACAACGACGGAAAAGATATGTTTTCCGACTGCAAACTGAGCCCCTGTAGCGATAGCTGCAGACAAGAACTGAGAGACAGTAACGAGCGGCACGGATGTTGCCTGTTCAGCACAGTCGCCGCGCTCTCGGACCTCGAGAGAGCCGAGAGACTGTGGTCGAGATGCGACGTGGACCCGCCGAGTCTTTGCAGCGGAGCTTTTACATCTTCTACCGCCACGAGGACCGTTGATTCGACGATCTCACAATCAGCAGCAGCATCGAAGAATGAATTCACTTTCTTACCCCTTGTCATGATTCTGTCTTGTTTACTATTGTAAAAAAACGCGGCGAACTGTAAAAGCTATGCGCATGCGCAAATAATCTTTTGCGACCTCGCGATCCTCGGCGCGCGCGCTGTATAGCTACTACAAGTGACTGTCTTATTGGGAAACGACTGTATTGTACTGTTTCGTGTCAACTGCTACTGTTTGATCTATCTCCTTACTATACGAGATGTGCGAGGGAAAGATGTTGCTCTTGGCGACTATAACCCTAGTCCTCACCGCATCAGCGGCGGAGAAGAGAGGTGCGTTTGGCTAGTGACGTGTTTTTGCGGCTGAAGGCAAGAGTTTTAGCTCGATAATAATTTTGGCAGGCAAACGTATAGGTGGTAGAAACGGGCGTGCGTTTTGATTGCTAAGAACGTTAGCTATAAATCTGTGACTGTGTTGATTGATGTGCGCTATCTAGCTATAGATTTCAATGTTCTTCTCAACAGAACTATCCAGTATCAGGTACCGCCTCACGACATGCGGCAATGCAGGGCGACTGGGCCCGGCGAGTGACCGTCAGTGCATCGATACCACCGCAACCGCGGCACCCCAATAGCTCGAGACGACCTCATTCAGCAGCAGACGGAGCCAAATTTCAGGGGCGGCCAGTTAGTGCGAATTCCCAGAACCACCACATACAATGTTACCGTCGCTGGCGCTTCTGGTGGGAACGGTCTGTGTAGCCCTTGCGTTTGGACGCGGAATAGTGATCAGAGCTCAAGCAATCCTGAATGAGAATTTTGATATGCTGGTGCTGGTTGGACAGAGAGGAATGGGTCCTTGCGAGTTTAGCGAGCCTCCAATTGACTCATTCTGCTATAATCTTCCTCCAGCGAATGATTCTGCCCAGTGCAACGACACTTGGTGGAAGTATCTTGAAACTATCGGAGGTAGAGAGGACGGGTTGGACGTGTACAGACACACTGGTGGTGGAGGGGGAGGTGGTGCTAGCATGATTAGGCTTGAAAACGATGGGGGCCTCCAGGTTTTCCCCCTAATTGTTGCCGGAGGTGGTGGAGGCGGTGCGGCAGTTTTGAATTTCCGTGTCCTAGACTCTGTTAGTTTTACACAACCTAATAATGCTACCACTGTGGAAGAAATCTACCAGTTGTTTGTGGACGGCAAAATAGAGGATTTTGACCCAGTCTTATCCAGTGTTCGTGGTGGGCTTGGTTTCGTAGCACCAGATGCAGCGGTTGAAAGATCGGCTGGAGCAGGAGGAGGGTACTCGAGTGAGTCCGAGTCACGGAGAGTCGACGGGAGTGTGCTAATTTTTGAAGAGGCGTTTGCTGAAGGTGGCACCGACTGCGCGACATCGTCCTTCATTCCGACCTCATTCACCAGTGAGGTCGGTGGATTTGGTGCCGGGGGTGGTGGGTGTGGGGGAGGAGGGGGAGGTGGTGGGTACACAGGGGGAACCATTGTCGGCACTGGAAATTTGTTCCCCGGGGGTGGCGGTTACTCTTTTCTGCAAAATTCGAGTCTGAATCCACTCCAACTCCTGGGCTATAGTTGGAACGGTGCAGGCGATGGATATGTTGAGTTTGTGGCAGCAGATTGTGGCTGTGCATACGAGTGCCGTGTGCATGAAGCAGAGGATCGGTTTGAATGCACGTGTCCAGAGTTCTCGAGATTGGCACCAGACTTAAGTGACTGCTATCACTGTAAGTTTGCTTAACTTCACATCTCTGTAGCTGAAACCAGTGAAAAGTGTGCCTTCTAATACATGTTAGCTACCTGTCATACAAAGACTTTGTCTTTGCCCTCTGTATTAGTGCATCAGGGTGAAGCTACCCCTAAACAAAGGACACTTTCAATGTCCACAACCCCCAAAGGGTTCACATATTCAATGCACATGGGATTTTTTTAGAGTGAAAGCAATGTTTTTGTATATTTACACAGCTGTAAGTCGAAGTGTACGACACAGCAAATTGCTAGTCGACCCAATCACAGGGTTGACGCTGACTCTAGTCGACTTTGGGAGTGCAGTAAATCTCTACAGCATGACTGCAGCGCTCACGTCACAACTCGAGGAAGAAGGAGAAAGTGGCAGTGGCCATGAGAATGATCTAGAAGGAGCAGAGCGTTCGGATCAGAAGAGTGCCAGCAGTGATGTGTTTTGTGCTCTGGTCTTCATTGGGGAGAACGAAGACTTGGTTCTAGTGTCCAACATTGCCATGTAAGAAACCCTAATCTGATTCATACAACATTCCTTTAAGTGTTGTAATAAACTACTGCTTATTATTAAGAACGAACGTCATAGAACCCATACAATAAAATATGGACCTACATACATTGTCCATGAAATTATAGTGCATAGCTAGCATACCAGCCATAGGGAGAGATATAATAGATAGACAGATAGAGAAATAAATGAAAACCACCACCACCATATTTACAAACCCCAAAATATCCATACAAAACACACATGCACAAATACTCATGACATGAGAGCAGGACACTGGGATGCCCTACACGGGTGCAGTAGAATGCCATGAACTATCACTGAAAATGTTTTGCAGCCGATCACCTAACCTTTGCACTAGCCTAGGAGACAACATAGGACTGCTCCAGCTAGAATTTGCCATCGTCTATATAGGCACCTCATGGAGCACTGCTCGATTTCATCTGCCTCGTAGTATATAGCTACTTCCGCTTAGGTGCCTAACCTACACATAATGTATGGACAGTATCAGTTCCTTTGGCCATTTTTAAGACTCTCAAGTAGCTAAATGCTCAATGTATTTAATGTTGGGTTCTGCTTAATGTTCTCAGGAGTGGCCAAAACACGTTGACAAAGCTCTCCAGAATTGACGTAGATTTCAACGAGGGTTCACTAACGATAGGAGACTCGACGGATTTCCTCCAATCAGCTATTGGAGTGACTGGAGCGCTATTGGTTGGTCTGGGAGACTGTTTCATCATGGGAGAGCTAGTATTGAACACAGTATACTGGGAATCCAAGGTGTACTGTATACTGTAAAAAAATCACGTAATAATATATGTACCGTTAAAAGTTCTGTACACAGTTAATTGGAACTCCCAAAGGATTATTGGTGCGTGTTTACTAAGTTCTCTTCATTCCCAACTCCATATTAGTGTTTGTCCTGTCAACACTTGTATTGTTTCCATACATTCCCGTGTATGTGTGTATAATAATGCACATGGTGTGATTTTTGCACATGTGGGGCGTGTGTAACAACTCATTATAATGTGTGAAGGGGAGGCCACAATATCAAAAAGATGTTGATGGATCATTATAATTATAAAACTTTTGAAACAGAAAAAGTACGTAGCTACACCTTTTGGTAGCAAAAACAAGGGTTTTTTCCCGTATTTTTCCAGTCCTACAACACCAATAAGTACGCTAATAAACTGCGAAATCCTGGAAAATTCCCCTCCGAGAATTGCTCTAAGGAGTTTAATAATAATCTTTTTCTACAGTACATTATAAGGTTTAGTGAAACTAAGAAAATATGTGCGAAAGATTTCTCATGAGAGAATTTCCCGATATTACGGTATCACCTTCGCAGCAGGTTCTGGTGTGGAGGTGGATGGCTCTGGTCACACCAAACTGGAAGACGAGATACTAACCAACCGTAACAGGACAACCTCGCTACTGCTGAGAGTGCTACAGATTAATGACACAGCCCCTACCATTATCGATGACACTTCTTCCCCCGGAGCAGAGCTCACGGCATGGCAGATTGTGCTAGTGGGTGTGGCAGCAGCACTGATTTTTCTAGCCCTACTCACAGTTGCCTTGCTCTGCATTGCCTGCTACAAGCGTAAAACAAGGTCAGAATGAGCAGTCACCTTACAGATTTCATGAAACAGCTCCTGTAATAATTATATAGACACTCCGAAAACACTTTGGTCCCACATGCAGGTCTTTTGGGAAGAAGAGTTTTCCTAGGTGAAATTGATTTGTTGGCCTCGGTGTTTATACATACTAATACTGTATATAGTGTATTTTTAAACCCGCTTTCGACTTCGCATCCATAAAGCAGGACAAATCGTACTGAAAAGGATTGCTTTTATAAACGCGGTATTAATTGTCCTTTATTCAAAGGATCCACACAATTTTTACTGACAGCAAGTAACAAGGTGTGTGTTCAATTTTTAACCCTCGGCGGCGCACATGCGCAGTGAGGGTCAGTTCGCCGAGGGTTTACACTTTAGTGCTTCTTCATTTCATCTGCAGAAAGGAAACGAAGGCAATGAAAATGAAGAGAGTTCCAGAGTTGCGGCGAAGTAGCCTCGCGTCTTCTCTGGTTTCCAACGCCGTGTACGTCTCCCATCGAGACTCCATCTTCCCTGAGTTCCCTTACAACAAGATCAACACTGTGAGCTACATTAGAGAGTTTTGTGTGTGTGTTATCATGTCTTGCTATTACATGATGAGCACTGACGCTGCACGGACGAAGCTTTTCTTTAATATTTGAATTTTGGCTTTTCCCCCCCAGCAAACACCCTCCCCAATGGAAATGAGAGAGAGGTATTCGTTTTCGCCTGGTAGAAATCCAAACAGTTTTACTCGACAGGTATTATTACCACTGGCAGTTTTGTGTTTATATTAAAGGCTGGAAATTTAGTCATGATTTTTACAGACTGTGTTACTATTCCAAAATTGTATAAGACCAAGTAGTTTTGCTTAAATCAGCTCTCCGGTGTGTAGCTACATAGGTGTTTTCAAGCAACTGATGGTAACTAGCTATAATGCTCTCTCTCAGCACTCGGGGTGTGGTAGAGTTCTGTGGGAGGAAGGCACCGTCGTGCCTCCGGAGCACAACTTCTCTGCCTTCAATCGAGGACGCTCAAAGAGCACACTACGGACGTCCGTGAGCTCTCATTCATAATATCGCATCCACCATTGTAGGTGTTGCTGCTTGTTTGTGTTTAAAGTTCCCTAGTAGCTATACCGCGTTATGGTCTACACACAATTCATAGCTTATGTGTGGTAAGACAGTTCACCAGTGTGGGCCACTACTACAAAGAGTATTGTCTACCTTTATGTACTGATACAATGTGTAGGAGTGGCAGTACCCGAGGAGTCAGCTAATATACATGAGGGAACTGGGGGAGGGTCAGTTTGGAAAAGTTCTACTAATGAAAGCACAGGTATCGTAATTTGAAAACACATCACAAAATTCTCACGAGGCATGATGTACACACACACAGCAGTGGTAGTGCCAGCAAAGCATATTATTGCTTATCTAAACACAGTGTGAACTATGTACAGCTGTTGTATGTATCATTGTTCATTTTGTTTGTTGTGCCTTTGCCTTTCTACCTCGTTGCACATTAATTAAATTGTCTAGCATGTGTCAACAGACGAAGTGAGGTAGCAAGGCAAAGGCAAACAAATCAACAACACAGACACAGACATGGTATAATTCAGTATATAGAGGCTCTCCTGGCTCACCGATTGATTTATTCCCTTCTGAGATGATAAGTGATCTAGGCATCCTCTCCTCACAACTCTAGAGAGGAATTGCTGGTTTCAAGAGAGATCTGCCGGTGGCAGTGAAGACCCTGACCTCCAGAGACCCCCAGAAGGTGGCCAAGTTCATGGAGGAGGCTGAGCTGATGAAGAAGTTTTCCCACCCAAACATTGTCTCCCTCCTTGGTACACTTATTTCATGTTAATGGTCGTAAAGTTGTGAAGTGGATATATACTTAATTACCACCTAAGCAATATGGATTATCAGACTGTTTTTTTTTTATGCCTCATGGTTCTTGCCCAATACTTTTGTGGAGCTCCTCAAACTGCTGAAGTTGTTCCCATAGAAAATGTAGTGTGCAGCAAGCGTTACAGTAGTTGGTTTGTGTATTCTCATGTGTGTGTCATTCATTCCGTCCGTCCACCTCTCCTTGTCTGCAGGTGTTAGCACAGACGATGTGTTGGATGATGACAATGCCCCTCTAATGATCCTCGAGTACATGCCGTACGGCGACCTTCACGCCTTCTTGGAAAACAACAGGTAAGCTAATAACAACAAGGGGTAAAACGCTATTAGAATGTGCTGGAATTTCAGGCCAGGATCCGAGACTCTATCAGTGAGTTTAGGAGATGCTCACTTTGTCAGCTTTGCCACTGATGTAAGTTATATATTGGTTGCATTATAATATTATGGATAATATATCTTGCATGTATGCTGATGATGTTTCAGGTAGCTGAAGCACTGAAGTTCATAGGAGAGGAAAGATTCGTTCACAGAGATATTGCAGCAAGAAACTGCCTGGGTGAGCACTCATGACATACTGATAGGCTCTGAGAAAACGACACTTATGGCGCATGTAGTATTTTTGTAGTAGCGGCGGTTTTGCGGCGAACTACATAATTTACGGATTCCCGTTTCCCCCGTATTCTAGTACCTCTGTATCAGATAGGGGTATTGGGGGGTTAATTAGGACAACCACTTCTTTTATGAACAAGGCTGGCTCATCAAAATGTGGGGATAGGGTTCTTTCTGTCTTAGTGTGGGCATCTTTTTGTTCCCCTTCATTTTGATAACGTACCATCCCTATACATCCCTATTGATGTTCCTAATACCTACGATTGTGACTATTTTCAGTTGGAGCTGGGCTTAGGATAAAGATGGCCGATTTTGGCCTGGCCCAGAGACTCAATCAGAACAACTACTACCTTGATGGGGAAGGAGGTGTTCTACCTATTCGCACCATGGCCCCGGAGATATTCCTCACTGGACAGTTTACCATCTCATCCGATGTCTGGTGTGTTGTACCGTAGAGTGTTTCCGCATTCTGTTTGAAGGAAAAGTTTCATTTGCCTAACTTATGTTCTAGCATGTGTGTTCACCCATGATTTGAGTCTAGGAGTAGCTACTCACACTCAGCAATTCCTGAATCAGTATAGTTAAAACGATCTAGCTACGCACGTACCATTATTAACCTTCGGCGCGCATGCGCAGCGAGGGTTACGGTAGTCGTTCTGCCTGTCTGTCTGTGGTGTGTGTGTGTGTGTGTGTGTGTGTGTGTGTCGACGCTTATTCTGGTACCTCAGGCTACGAAGCGGCCCGTTAGCGATACCAGCGGATTCAGAACTACGGGAGCCTGAAAAGTAATTAGGCGATTTTCCTGAAACGACTTCGTTCGAGAGATATGCCGTGAAAACAAGCGAAAAAGCCAAGATGCATAATCGCACTGGGCTTACCGCGACCTGATCCGCTCGCTCTGTGTACCTTGGGGGCTCAGGAAGTCACAACCAATGGCATGTCATTCTATCTACTACTGTAGCTAGCCCGTGTCTGACTCTCCGCGGGCTACTAGCGCAAGACCACGAGTAAACGCAACCAGCCCATCAATTAGCAGTATCGCGCATGCGCAGTTCGCCGAGGGTTTGCACTTTAGTGCTTTTCATTACTATAATAGCTACTAGAGGAATGCAATGCATTGTTGATGAGCGAGCGCGAGCAGTTCAATATTTTGCACGTGTTTTGCACGTAACGTAGAACATTACAATGTGCAGTGCCTGACAGTGCTGTCACATACAATAATGCAGAGAACATTCCCGCATTGAAACGACTAGGTAGATCCGCTTCACGCGCTGGTTGTATAATGGTGTGACTATTACTGTCAGGTGTTGCATTGTTTGGTGTCAGGTCATATGGAGTACTACTGTGGGAGATGGTCAGCTATGGAGCTCTCCCACTACCAGGAATGACCTCCAGGGATATAGCTGAGGCTGCACAGACAAGAACACTTCACCATACAACGTCAGTACCCACTGTTCAATTTAACTGTTAGCATAATGTTATAGTTTTGATGCAAAACATTGTATATACATTGTGGCTAATTTATACTCTTCTCTATTCTTACACTCTGTTTCTCTTTCTTTTATCTTCTTCTCATCTTCTTCCCCCATCTCTCTCTTTTCCCCTCAATTGTCCCTCCCTTGAATGATTTTTCCTCTACCAACTCCCTTCTAATCCTCAACAATGGTTTTAGCAAGCATTGCAGTTAGTATAAATAATGCAAGCCAACCACCGCCTCTAATAATAATAATGTCCTAATTGGCCATTAATTCATAGTAGTTCACTTTCATTTCAACTTTACCCTTGCATTTTATTCTCCCTTCCTCCCATTTTGTTCTCCTCTCTCCCTCCCTCCCTCCCACCTATACTAAAACACACAGTCCACCAGATTGTCCTCCAGTCCTGGGCTCCCTGATGGCCCAGTGTACCAATCACTACCCAAACCTCAGGCCTTTGTTTACCGACATCCTAACACAACTGACTCAACACGACCCCTGATGACGATGATGACTTTGTCACGAACTTTGGTTTTATTTTTTTTACCCAATGAGTTGTGAAGCAGCGAGAGCTGCAGAAAGTTATTACGTGTCATTGAGTCATTGGCTCTGAGAATCAAACCATAAGTAGATGAAAAGCAAGTGCAAACCCTCGGCGGTGACGCACATGCTCGCTAGAGAAGGGTTTCATGTCAAAGCAAAGTTGAGGAAGACCGACCTACACAGCCTAGTTCTATAATATAATTATGAAAGGCTGCAGACAAGGTAGCTAAGCATGCTACCAAGTGTTAGTGAGGCACATCTTTCGCTGTGCATTTGCCATGCTTTTAGCTCAACAACAGGCTTGGTAAACGTTCTCTGCAGGATTGTAGCGTATGTGAGAACGGTACATATGACTTTACGGAATATCTCGCGCATGCCCGAACAGATTGTAAAGGGTGAGACTTCCTGAGTGATTTTATTGCTCAGGGGGGACTTCCTGATCGTAGTGATTGTACCAATTACTACAACTACCATAACCCTCGCTGCGCATGTGCGCCGAGGGTTAATTATGTCCAAGTCTGCGCAAATTTTAGGCTCTAACACAATTCTGTTCCACTGTTATTGCCCTGGGTATTAGGCAAGTACGAATTTGCGTGTTTTTCTTAGAGCCTATCACTTTTTATATAACATTACGCAAATTTGAGTATGCATTACTTGTCAAGGATGGTAAGGGTAGAACCAGGGCCTTGCATTAAGCAAACCAGGTGCAAGCTAAAACGCTAGAGTCCCAGGTCAAAACAACGTGTGTTCCAACAAAAATGTGTCCACCAATACTAATGTTCTGTTCTCCTCTACATGACTGTCACTTGTCTTGTGGCCTTCTGATAGCCCTGCATCAAGACCATTGATGTTACATACGAGAGGATTGTGTGATAAAGGCTAACCCTCTTCTGGGTCCTCAACTGTGCAGTATAGAAGGCTGATGAAGGCTCCTATAAAGCATAAACGGTATTCAAAAGGGAGTTCATGCATGATGTCCGCAAGTTTAGCAATTCATATATACACTTGCCTTGCTCAGCTGCTCTTGAAGTTCATCAAACTCCCTATCATCACCCTTTGCTTGAATTTCCTAATAGTTAATGGACGTAAACAACTTCCACAGGTCAAGTGATGTGAGACATACAGCCATATGGGTGGTTTGAAGCACATTTTAAGCACTCTCGGCATTTTAACCCACCTGTCCTTCTCCATTCTTGCTTGCTAAAACTTTAGGCCACCCCATTTTCACCCTTGAGCAATGTGTGTAGCTCTCTAGCCACGTACAACTAGAGTATAAGTGTATGTACAAAGCATTGCTAACACATTCAGTGTGTGGTTGTGTGAGGTTTTGTAATGACAAACACTAGCTAAAGCATTACGGTATGGAAAAATATTATGTACACAAACAAAAAATCAAATCTCGCTATCCACACAACTATGTACATTATGTGGGCTAATATGCACCTTTCCATCATGGAGATGGTTTGCGGGGTCTCCAATGAAGGCAGTGTTGTACCAAGTCTCAAATTCGTCCACCAGTTTCCTCCTGCTCTGAGACACGTAGTGACTGCAGTACTCCACCTCCTCCTGCAGACTCTATTACAGAAATGTACACTGTAACTATATAGTCACTGACACATAAAATGTGTCCACAGCTACCATAAGTCCATAAGAATTTATACGGGGTTATAATACTAGGCGCTAACATGATTTTCTGGTTGGAGAATAGAGATATATACCCATGGCATCCAAATGGTTAAGGTGATACCCATGGTGTCGAAAGGGTTAAAGAGATACCCATGGTGTGCAAATGGTTAAAGAATGTGGAATGGGGTTCTCTAGAAAGCACATTACTAGAATCTGGATACAATCAACATCAGAGACTTACATCTGAATCAGCTCTCAAAATACGTTTGATACGTACATGCGCTTACCTGAAGATTCTTGTAATGCTGGCGGTAGCTCACTTTGAGCTGTGCACATGCAAATAAGACATTGAAAAATATAGCGTGTAATGATATTTTGAAAGAACCACCTCTTTCAGTTTAGAGTGGGCGTTGAACTGCCACTCCTCCATCACAATCTCCCCACTGTCACCATCTTCACTCCTCACTCCCTCCCCTCCCTCCCTCCACTCAGTAGTTTCTGCTAGGGACTTGTCCAGCTAGTGTGTAGGATACAGTATACACATGGAGCTATAGAGTGGGTTTTAACACACGCACCATCATGCATGAAAATGGTTTTAATAAGTGGGGACATTGTGTGTGTGTGTGCGAATAGCACAATCTATGCGATAGTCAACATACGTACTGTTCAACACTACTATGATTCAGAGTGACCTACATAGTCGTAAAGTGAATTATTTTCGTGGTATGTACTTGTGCTTTAAGAGAGCATGGAGGGTGACTTCTGGTTTTCTTTCTTTTCTATTGGCTAGTATGCTATGTATACTTTTCATGCATTCAGGGAGCAGTCTTTTACCTCATCAACCTTCTTCTTGATGGTGTTGATGGTTGCAGAGAGTTCAATAACTTCCTTCTTCTTGCGACTCAGAGTAGCTGAATGTTGCGAAATGAAAAAATGACTCTGCAATATCATCTTTACTGTATACGTAGGCTACAGACTGAATGCAACACACTTTCAGCAAGTAAAACTGTGATCTCTATGCATGCATGCACATTTTCAACTTTGGGCACCATAGGCGTCTCCTTAAATAAGCAGAAATTGATGTATAACATATTAGCGCCTAGTATTATAGCCATATATTCTTATGCACTTATGGAGGCTCTGTGCATATGTAAATTGCGCCAAAGGGTTATTAATAGTAAGGAAAATCGTGCAATAAAGACGACTAAGTTCACCACGTTAGAGTACAGTTCTTTATTACTCCTCCAAACCTTTGTTGTCGAGAAAAACTTGGTTGATTTCAGAGCCTCTTTGTCTCTTGAATTCCTCAAATGCTTCTTCCTTTGGTGGAGGTGTGGACGGTCGCGTTGATTGACCCCCAATCTCGGAAGGGGCTCCCTCCTCGTCGGCTGCTAACGATGGAGCAGGACTTTCAGTTCTCTTTGTGCTTTTGGTTTGAAAGAATAATCGTCAGTGATAGGCATGCATAGCTTTTGGAAGAGATTACATGTCTAGCAAATTAGTGTGTGGTTGTGTGTAATGACAAATCATTACACTAGCTTAACACTTAACCAGCCGCGACACATAAATGTGTCCAGAGCATCCATAAGTCCATAAGAATTTATATGGGGGTTATAAATACTAGCGCTAATACTTTACATGCATCAATTTCTGCTTATTTAAGCAGATCCCAAGGCGTCAAAGGGTAAAGCATTACGGTATGGAAAAATATATGTGCAAACAGAAAATCAAGAGAGGGGTTGATGATGATGTATTTAGCTAATAGATACAGGGAAAAACTGCTCAACAAGAGTAGAGAATAGTGTCATACGTAACTCAAAAGTTGTGAAAACTGTGAGTTTGTCAAGGAAAAAAGGAGTTTTTAACGCACTAATCTTTATAGAATTCAAGCATTAGTGAAGGCAGATAAAGGCAGAAAAAAGTCTTTATGTCTTCCGACAGTTATTGTGGCTTTTACCTGAGTTTGCTCTCTTTGGATTTGGTGTCAGTTTTAGACGCCACTTTGGATTTCCTAACAGCCACAGCTGCTGATGTTGGATGCTTCAGGGACGCTGGTGCCTGCATATTAGTACATACATATACAGTAGCACCCGTACTCTATGTAGACTGCTTATTCATTACTCATTACGTAATAATTGTACCTCGTCATTCGTATAAAAAGTGTATGCACGTGGAAAATAATCAGATTTGAGAGACTCAGCCAGAGTCACAGTAGAAAGAGAGGGAGATGAGTATTGTCACGCGCAAGGCTGGTCGTGCCACATAACTAATATATATAATGGTCAGAAAGAATAGCATTTAAACACACATTCAGCACAAATTTTTGTTTCTCTGGGATATCTTTCACGGCTTACAATAATGCCCAAACACAAACGTTGTTATCAATGAGCTAGAGGGTTACAGTACTCGGTTTATGAGTCTGTCTGTCTGTCAGTCTGTCATATGGTACCACCTACTATGCCCAGGCCAAGTCCAACACCTTCTGTCTCACCAGCAGTCTCAGCCACAACCCCAGCCCCACTCTGCACCTGTGGTACGTATAATAGTGTGCAACAGCTAGCACTCACACACAATTATGATAATTATTAGGGACTTCCTCACTTTGCTCTCCCGTTTGGTGCGAGAAGCCGAGTGTGGCACAGGTTCAGTTTTGCCTGATGTCCCCCGACCTTCACTACTTGACTGCACACCACCATCACGTGACCTACATACGTACATAATATGTACATAGCTACATCTTTGTCAAGCAAGGCAAAAGGCAAAATGGAAGCAAGTCAACTACACCCAAGCACAGCTCTCTTTTCCAATGAAAAAAAAATCAGAAGAGCTGTCCTAGGTGGGATTCAAGCCTACTTAACACTCTGCAGTCTAGGCAAGCATAGTAGAGTGTACATATTGTATACTTGGACATGTCAGCCACACAGATTAGCTCAGCACTACTGAACACAGACTGGCTTAGCCTTGAAAACCAGGCTTTAACAGGCCTTTCGTTGTTTGTACAGTACATACACATGCAAAGAAATTGTAATGGGCAAGGCCTGGGCTGCGAGGCTATATTCAAACAAAACTTACAATGTGATTGCCTTGAACTGTTCAAACACCTCCTTCACCTGTTTCACACTTACTAACTGTAGGGAGATTAGATGACGGCAAAGTAAAAGTAACACTTTGGCAAGTGAAATTAATCAATTTTTTTGACGCATAATTATTATTTAGAATCATGTAGTATGTATGTGCAGTGCCTGTTGGTACATGTGCAGTGCCCGTCACTTAATCCCAGCAAGGTTGGCTCACTTCCCTCACCAATTATTATGGGTGCCCCTTCTCTTATTAAACATGAGCTCTATGTGTGTCTACACCTCAATGTCAGGCAGTGTTCCGTTGAGGAAGCTCTCCACTTGCTGTCGTATCTCCTCCACCTCCAGCTCACTCAGAGTGTCGTATGACACCGACCTGCGATTCAGCTGAACAGAGAGATTACCATCTTTATGTAGCTACTGTAGCTTCATCAATGTAGCAAAAGCAGAATGTGTGACTATATTATTCGCGTGACAGCTAGTATCACTTCGGTCATAAAATTTGAGTTTGTTTCCTACAGTAACTATTTTTGTTCTCGGAGCCTATCACCAAAAAACACAACGATAATGAATGCAAGCACGAGATTTCAGTAACACAAGCAGCCAATAGAGGCTTGTACCACGAATAAATCGAATCAATTTGATCTTATTGGATCCACGACAACCATTGTATTGTGCATGCTCAATTCTTCCTTGAGACTTGCAATTTCTCTCTCGTATTCTTTCAGGAGTAACTGAAAAAGGTAGAGTATTATAATATAGTGGAACCTCTGATAATGAACTTCCCCAACAGTGAACACCTCTCTATAATGAACTTATTCCGTGATACAACGTACGCTTTACCATTCTCATACACATACTCTCATAGGAAACGCTGAGATAATGGCGGCCCGGGATGCTGAATGCCCAATAAAATTGCTGTCCCAATACTTTCATTATTCGGAGGTCCCACTGTAACATAGCTTTACCTGCCGCCAGGTGGATATCAAACCTTAGTCTCATGAGCCATACGCATTTTGCACGTGCGCACGCCTCGACGCATGCGCGCAAAATGCATAGCTATGACCTAGACCAATCCACTTTTGCTGACGCTCTCTTGCTTGAGAATCAAGCAGCAAATAATACTGCGCACTCCCACGTGACACCCGAATAATTGCCAACCACTCGCTCCTTGTGTGCTAACGGTGATGCATCATGCCTATACATTTTGACCAATGGTGACACACCGCATATTCGCGCACAGCGCAAAATTTACTCCAATCAGCCAAATTAGGACAACATTTCTCAAATGGCAATAGGATCATCTGCAGGTTGGTTACCCTATCCTATACCTGTTTTTTGGTATACGTAGGTATGAAAATGGCTCATGGCGTATATAGCTCACAAACCTGTGGATCCTTGAGAGTGTTTTTCACCGGATTAGTCTGCACGCGTCTCACTCTCGCGGCGAATCGCAGCGTAGATATCTGTCAAAATCACCATACGTTCTGTTTATAACACACAGCTATAATATGTACAATGTCTAGGCTAAATGATATATACGTGTACATGCAAGTACAGAACATGCAGAATTTATTGTACATACTGTATGTAAGGCTATGGAGCAAATTGTTAGATTGGATGGTGGTGGTTGGAGCTAACAAAGAGCTTAGATACAAGAATGCAGTATTACATACGTGCTGTTTTTAGTAAGTTTAGCTCTTCAACTTACAGTTTCTTGAAGTTGGTCAACTTCTCCCACACATTGGCAATGAGAACGATGTGACTATTTCCACCTACATAATATGGAATAGGATGTGTGGTCAACTACTAGTTATTATAGTGAAAGTGTGTGTCAGAAATGTGTAATGATTAGCACCCATGTTGCACCCCAAACTGGCAGTAAAAATTCTGCAGTGGTTGCGCCACAATGAGAATGGTATGACAGTTAGCTACTTAAAATTTAGCAGATTTCACGTTTGAAATTCAACGCCGCAAACAGACGGGTCACATACAATATTATGGCTGTGATCTCATCTACTCAAGATACGATTCCGTCACGCTCTGCCGCTGTTCCCATGCAATGAATAGAAAGGACGACATCCATTTCGAGGTCTGAGGTATAATATGTATCCCGTTTTAAATGGGTCAGTACATAAGGGCTAAATTTAGAAAGGTTCCTCTACAAGATTGAACTACCATGAACCACTAGCCGCAGTCAACAGAATGGCACGAATTTTGTATGTTGACATTTTCGTAAATTAGCCATGAATACGACTGTTCTACTATGCGTATGTGTATAGCAACCGAGGGAGTCTCTGAGGAAGTGGGTCAGATTAGACTGTCTGAACGGGACGTGCTGTGTTGTGGTTGGGGTTTGGTTGTGTTGTTTGGGTTTTTGTTGGGTTTTGTGTTTGGGGGGGGGGGGTTTGTTGGTTTGTGTCGGACGGGGTGGAGTCGTTTCATGGCCACGATCACACTGTTACCCTTCCAGGAACGACAGAGAGCAGTTCATGTGCATCGCCTCCTTCTCCACTCTGCCACTCGGCTACATTGGGAGAGTTAAGGAAATGCGTATCAGTACATAAAGGCTAAAGATGAATCAGCATATGTGGCCCAGTGAAGAACGAATGCAGGTCGTTGTAGTATCAGTCTGTATATTTAGGCCTTTTCTTCGGTTTACTCGCATCGCTGTCTTTTAGCGGAGACTCACCAGATGGCATTTTCTCTCTCACACATCCTATGGGCAACATATCCGTGGTACACTGTATACACATCGCATATGTGTATTATCAGCGTGTACATACAGGATCTATAGTGTATGTAGCTGTATATCTATCAGACTGCACGTGCAGGAGCATACATTAGGGCAGGGCGTTGAAAGGCTATGGATGGGGCTCACCCACCTTGTTGCTTACTCACCACGGCGTTCGAGCGCTGCCAGGTCTACCGATTTGATGTCGAGGACACAGTGTACTCTGTAAACCAGGACCACTGGAATGAGAGCGAGCCTGTGGACAAGGAAAGTTAACATGTACATTGTATGTAAGAAT